TAAACTAAACTTTAAGAATTTGATTAAAATATCTTCAACTAAAATGGTTTCTCTTACAAATATATCTTGCATAATAATATATAATAAATTTTCAGTTGGAGATTCCGAGTGAAATTTCATTTATCTCCTTTGATTATTACTTCGGTTATTATTATGTGATTATATACCATTTTATATTATATAAGATTATGCACATATGAGGACTCATTGAACCGATTGTTGTTCCATGTAATCGTGACGACTTGCCAGGCACTTGAGCAAAGAGTCGGCACATTTGATTCGATGCGATACGATTTCATAAGTAAAGCCATGATTAGATTCAGATTCGGTATATATATATATATATATACATGTATGTGTATATGTGCATATAAATAGCATGCATGTGTGCTATAGCCTGTACATATGTGGAGCTGTCGCTTGTCTAACTTTATGGAGCACACCCAATTCTGTGTGCGTGTGAGTGTGTGAGCATGTGTGTAGATGGGATGGGCCTCCCGTGGAGGGTCTGCTGAAAGGAACATCATCAAAACGGCCATTAGCTAACTTGAACAATGCCAAGAGGACGAGTGCAGGGCGAAAAGTTTTAGCAATTGAAAAAGGAACATGGCAGACATGGCGTGCCAGGGCACCCACTCTATATACGAGTATGTACGGCCCCTCCGCCGCCCCCTAGCTATGCAGGAGCGTCTCTTTACATAAGCAGATCGAAGCACATATGTATACGAGCATATGTATGTATGTGTGTGCATGAGGCCACTGTGGCATTCTATGGCCGTTCATGGCTCGGATTACAAATGAAAATGGGAAAACACGCGCACTCATCAACCTCAAAAAAAGCAAAAAGAAAACACGCACACACACACACACACACGCACACAGAAAGAGGCACTGGCAGGCCTGGGGAAATCACGTGTAGTGCCGTCGGCGTCGCTGCTGCTCTGCTTGCTCTGGTTCTGGCTCTGCTTCTTCTTCATCATCATCGTCGTCGTCGTTGCGCTGCAAAAGTGGGCGCGTCGCTGGCTCTGCCGCTGGCCAATCGCAGCGCGGCGCAAGCGAGATAGCTAGCGTGCATGGCGCACTTGCGCGCTGCTGCTGCTGGGAAATTTCCCAATTTACAGGATAACGTTGACAAGGGAAATTTTGTAGCAGCGGCAGAGGCAGTGGCAGCGACAGCAGCAGCAGCAGCAGCATGTATCGCACGCCCATTTTGTGTGCTGCCTCTTCTAAATACGAGTACATAGCGAGCGTGTTATGTGCGTATGTAAAGTGTGTGCGTGTGTGTGTGTGTGATGGCCATTGTTACGCGCTTAATGATGATGTTGCATTTAACAATAGCAGCAACAATAAATACAACAGCAACAACAACAAGCAGCAGAAGCCGAAGCAGGAAGCGAGCTAACCAAAGTAAAAGCCTTTCAACGCTGGCAGCGACGCGATGCTCGTTCTTATTGTTGTTGTTGTTGTTGCTATTATTTTTTATTATTGCTGTTGCTGTTGTTGCTGTTGCTGTTGCTGCTGTTGCTGCTGTAGTTTAGCTTCCGCAGGAAGTTTAAGTAGCCAGTCAGCGGCAGCAGCAACAACAACACGCGTGAGTTTCTCACATTGGCAAATACATATATCTCTGTATCTCTCTAGCTGCATTTGTATTAGTCACTGTGCATCTGTGTGTGTATGTGCGTGTGTGTGTGTGCGGCATTCAAATTACATACAAATTCAATTGAATTTCGCGCACAAAACTTGTTCTGTTTTTCCGGCAGTTGCAGCTCCGTTCGCTTCACTTCACCTATTTATATTTATTTATTTATTTTTATATATACATACATATATATGTATATGTACATATATATTTTTTCTGCTCTTCTGCTTATTTTTCTTTCTTTTTTTTTTTTTAGACACTTCAAAGTACTCTAACGGGTTTGTTGTTGTTACGCTTCTTGTTTATTGAAGTCGTTATTGTTGTTGTTACTGATGTTGTTTTGCTTGGCCCCTGCCTATTTGTATTATTGTTTAGGGTTAAGTAACTCGCCTCAATTGTTGTCTCTTTGTTTTCTTCTTCTTCTCAGTTTTATGTTRTTGTGTCAGAGCTTAGATTTTGTGTCTTTAAGTTTGGCAAAGGCGAATCCCTCAGCGCTTAATCCCACCAGCCATTCAACAATGGCAGATAATAAAAGTGGATTATCTGAATATTGTATACGATTCTCATGGAGCATATTTGGAACTGAATTCAGAATTCTTATTGATTACAAAATAATTATCATTCTATTACTTTTGTCTTATCTATAATGAAAGGTACGATAAACATTTCTATATCCATTACACATTTTTAATTTGATTTGTATTTATAATTTTTGCTATCTACCCAACACGTAATATCTATAAATATCAATCAAAATTGTAACGTCAAAGCTTAAAATATTATGAAATATATACTAAG